GAACACCTTATTAAGAGATAACTCAATCTGATTTTATTAAAGCCCTCAACGATTATCATGACTTCAGTTATCTTAGTTTGTAATTACATATAATTACAAGCCATCCAGTAACTTATATCTGCTTATGCTTGGAGGACATCTAAGCTTGTCGATAATTGAAGTGCAGTGATAAAAATAACTATATTATATATTTTATAATATGCAATTTATGATTTTCCGGATTACAGACCAAAGAGGGAACATCTAAATTGAAAACAAATTTGGTCCCAGCATTGAGCCCTGTGGAACACCACAGTTGATTGTAGAAGAGGAGGATTAATTAGCTCCAACTGTACGAGTAAACCTCATTTTCCGAGTAGCCTCTCGCTGCATCCTGCGGTGGACATCCAACCCAACCACATCCAAGTGTGACGTCAGAAGCCACCACACCCATGCCCAATTTGGACGCATTCTCATTAACATTTAAAAACAGGAAGAAGCATCGAGAAGAGAAGACTAGAAGACGAAGGTAACGGCGAAACAAAATGCACAAAACACACTTGCGGTTTTAGTATTTTAGTAAACACTGTTCAACATAATACGGATGAGTTGTATGAGAATGAGATGTTACCTGTTGAAAGCAGCTCTTATCACTTTAATAGTTTGTAATGAGGTCAGTGCGGTGCGGCTAATCACTTGACTAGCATTGTCAAAATATCGATGTAATTCGAATCAATAAGGTTTGATTATGTTGTTTTAGAGCTATGAATTATCTTCAACTTACATATTTGGTCATTTAACTCCCCTGTAATGTCTCAACTGAGTTGTGTGTTACATTTGGCTGAGTTAATTTCGTATCAGTAACTACGTTAGATTCTCAACTGAGAATTTTGTTTTGTATACTATTACTATTATACAATACCAACTAACTGCATTATTATATCACCAATGTCATGTTGTTATTTGGATTAAGGGTAATATGAAAAATATATTATTTCAGTGCTTATGTGTGACGTTACATCCTGTAAATCTTATTCTGCTTGTAAAGAATATGAGATTTGATTGTCACTCTGTCAGTTGTAAATACTCCATATTGAAAAAGTTTGAAGTTGTTCTGTCATTGCTTATATGCAAAGAAGTTATACATGTTTAGATAATGTAATGTGATGATAAACTGTTGTAATATGAATAAGTTTTATTATTGATTCATAGTAAATACAGTGACAGCAAGCCAGCCATCACATCAGCAGACTTTCCTAACTATATTATACTTCTTTTCAGGAGTACTACAATTTTGAAAGCAAGTGATTGTTTGCCATGTCGGTAAGTAAAAATAAACTTTGGTTTGTATCCTAATCAAGTTAGCGTACTGTTAACTGTCGGGCCAAAGGTTTGTCTGAATTGGAATTAACAACTTAACGATAGCTAGGTTAAAACGTTTTGGTCTGATCACTTATCACTTACAACCCTAACTTATCACTTCAAAGTAACTTGGTTGAGCAACCGAATCATTTCACTACATCTTACTTGATAACTCTGTGAATGTGCCAAATTATCTATCTATTATAGATTAATGGAAAGATCACATAATTATTGTCATTGTCATGTTTTACAGCATCCTACACATTTTCAGTTCAAGCCTGGTGCAGATCAATTCTGCCTGGATGGGTGGTTCGAATATCCCTGCTGCAGTTTTATGACTAAAGAGAAATTCTCATTTTCTATTCATCCATTGCAGGTCAGAGTAGATTATTAATTATTTTTGCACAATGCCCAGTGCACCCTTTTGTTACTGATATTTCTGTTTACACAACAGTGACTGTTCTCTGAAAACTATTTCAGTGAAGTGGAAGATTTTAACCGACAAATTGACAAACAATTGAGGAAAGAAGGGAGACCATTCAATTGATGGGTGTTGCTCTTACATTTACACGTTTGGAGTTTGGAATTAGACGTCAGTAACATGAATATTCTATTTGACTTTCTCTCTCTACAACTCCAACATTTCATAAGTGTTAAGTGTTAAATCAGAAATAGACATTTGTTTAACATGTTCAACTGAAATATCTCTCTCTCTCTCTCTCTCTCTCTCTCTCTCTCTCTCTCTCTCTCTCTCTCTCTCTCTCTCTCTCTCTCTCTCTCTCTCTCTCTCTCTCTCTCTCTCTCTCTCTCTCTCTCTCTCTCTCTCGCTCTCTCAGAGTTGAAGCCATTCTTGCAGCAACTGGTGGAAAAGGGGATCTTTTTGGTGCTTTTGTTCTAGCACAAATAATTTTGTTCTTTCATATAATATAAATAAATACATGTGTATATATAAATAAATTCATGCTTGAATCATTCTCGAGTTTTGCCTTCTGATATCTGGCCATATCATTTAGTGACTGCATATGCTGATTCCATCGTTATTTTACCTGATAATGAGCAAATTAGTTAAACTTAAGGAGGTTTAACAATATACAGTATAATTCAAGAAACTAAGACTCACCCAACTTTTTCAGTTGTTTAAGGATTGATATACATTTTTTATTTGTTTTGTGTAAATTAAATTTTTCCAAAATGCCTCTGATACATTTTGAATAAAAAAAACACATTTTATAAAAATACTCCTGAGATTAAATGTCTTTCGAACTATGTATGTACAAACTAAAAAACTAGGGTCCTGTAACCGGGGTCCTAAAGCTGCAGCCTCCGATTGTGCAGGAATATACTATTGATTTTAAGTAGTATAGTGAATGTGTTGCTCTGAACAACTGTGACATTGGTTATTTTAACAAAAAGTTATCACACTTGCATTGATGGGTCATTTTAGACCCATGTGATGTATTAACTTGATGTATTAACACAAAATATTAAATAAAAAATTAATTTGTGACCAAGATATTTTGAACTATGATGATATTTTGATATGTTAAACTCATAAAACCTGTACAGAAGGTGAAGCGAGAGATTAACTTTTTTTTATGTATTAGAATATTGTGCAAAAGTTCATTTATTTCAGTAATTCAACATAGCTGTAAGCCATAATCATCAAATTTATAACACATAAAGGCTTGAAATATCTCACTTTGCATGTAATGAGTCTATATTATATATTAGTATCACCTTTTAGTTGAATTACTGAAATAAATGAACTTTTGCACGATATTCAAATTTTTCAAGTTTCACCATATTGGTTCTTTAAGGTTTACATAAATTCCATTCTGCTGTTTTATTATTTGATTTCAAATTCATTTGCTATAACAGGCATTAACTAATAAGTGAATTCTTAATTTGGTTGTAAAAATGCAACATTTCTATAACCACATAGAAAGATATGTAAAAAAAAGTTTACATTTATTTTTTTTTATTTAGAAGGGGTAACTATAAGTGCAGTTTGGATCCCATATAATTAAGAAAGTGACAAAAACTCGTTTTAGTTTAAGTATAGATGCTCCCTTATACGTTTATAATAGCAAAACCATGATTATTTATTACCATTTGTGTAACAGAAATACAAGAGAAATACAAAAATATCGTTTTAAGGTAGTACATTGTTTACTTGTACTACCATGCCATTAACTTACAAAACCAGTGAGCAATGCTCACTGTTAAGGGAGTGAATGTGATTTAGACCATTCCAAGCCTGCCAAAGCGTCACAATTTAACTGCACCAATAATAGCGTCACACTTCTATACAAATAACCTCATCTTTAAATCGAGTCACGTGCCGTATTTGGACATGGGCGAGGCTTCCGACGTCACACTTGGATGGGCGTGGCTTCTGACGTCACACTTGGATGTGGGCCGGGTTGGATATCCACCGCAGGATGCAGCGAGCTGTACTTGCATTTTCCTGATCTCAAGAGGTGCTCTAGCAACTGACATTAGATATTTTATCCTACTTGTTAGATCGCCTGCCTCCAGTGCGGATATCCCCAGTTTTGAGTCCTGCTTAGAGCGGGGCAGTTTAAACGACAGGGGCTAAACGTGCACTGGCCTGACAATGGAACAGTGCCTATTCATGGATTTAATTTAAAAACCCTGCATTGTGGCAGTTAGAAATTATTAATTTTGAGATATTAGCAGAGCTTGCAGCCTTTGCTGATGAACTAAAAGTCCAGTCACCTTTATTTGTATAGCGCTTTTTACAATACAGATTGTTTCAAAGCAGCTTCACAGAGATAACAGGAAAATAGTATTGTTAAATATAAAATGAAAAGCCCTTTCAACTGCTCAAAATGAACATTAAGTTTTATTGATTTCCATGCACTTTCTAACTTTCTGCACTCTCTCCTTGAATTAAAAATATCCCCGTTTCTCCAGCTACTTGATGAATAGGGACAAATGGAAAATATTTTTTGTGGTAATCAACATTATTCCACAAATGCTGTAAATTGAGATTAACTGGCACTGAAACCAGAATATTACTAAACTATTTACATATTGAAATTTTTAATCATTTTGTAGTTTGAGATGACAGAAACACCATCATCACACTAAACATTCAATCAACACTTTGAGCCAAAAATACGATTTTGTTGACTAAATCTATCCAGATTTCTGTTTTTTCTCTCATGTTTTCTCAGCTCGTCTGCCTGTTCCTGTCATCATCAGTAACTCTTCAAACTGTTCATCATCATCATCATCATGTTTACTGGTGTGTTCATCAGTGTTGAATGTGAGTGATGTGACTCTCTCCTGGTACAAAGGAATGAGTGTATTGTCCAGCATCAGTGTGTGTGATCTCAGCATCAGTCTCTCTCTACCTCTGGAGGTGGAATATCAGGATAAAAACACCTACAGCTGTGTGCTGAACAATCCCATCAGCAACCAGACCACACATCTGGACATCAACACACTCTGTCACACATGTGCAGGTACAGCAGCACTGAATATATATATATATATATATATATATATATATATGTGTGTGTATTTAATGACCTGATCTCTGTCTTCTGTTGTAGATCAGACTGAAACATTCACTTCTTTCTTTATTGCAGAGCTGGACACACTCTCTCCTTCTCATCCTCCAGTCTCAGTGTATCTGATAGTGTTGTTCTCTGCTGCTTCTGGATCTCTGTTGATTGTTGTTGCAGTCATTGGGATCTTCTGCATCTGCAGGAAATGTAGAAAAACAGGTCAGGAGAGTAAGCAATTAATGCATATGGCAAAATATTTCTCTTTTTTAAAGGTACAAATTTTAACACATGATTAAAAAACATTGTTGTTTTAACATACTGTATCTGTGATTATTGTTGTGCAGTTCAGACCCGGGAGGAAGACAGAAATAATTCAGCATCCTGTCAACAAAAAACACAAAAAATGGTAAGATCATTATGACTGTGTTGCAAGAAGTTGTTGCAGTCAGTCTGATTCAAGCTTTTGTGAATAATATGCCTTAAAGGGTTAGTTCACACAAAAATGAAAGTTCTGTCAGTAATTATTCTCCCTCATGTTGTTCCAACCCTGTAAGACTTTTGTTCATCTTCGGAACAGAAATTAAGATATTTTTGATGAAATCTGAGAGCTGGCTCACTCCTCCAGGCTGCTATGTAATTGCATTTGCTGGCCCTGAAAAGTTAGTAAAGACATTGTTAAAATAGTCCAAGTGACTAGAGTGGCTCAATCTTCAGTTTATCAAGCAATGAGAATACTTTTTGTGCACTATAACGCCCCGTCTCTAGGGGAAATCGGAAAACTCTTAAGAGGGATAATAAATAAGTTGGGTTGTGGTAGGGGAATGCCAGCAACAAATCACTCCGGTCGATAATCAAACAAATTACACAAAATGAAGCAGAAAAGGTAATACATTTATTAAGAAACAACAAGTTAAATAAAGAGCATCTCTTCAGGGTGTCCCAAAGGCCAAAATAACAAACAGAACAAATATAAAAAGAAAATAGGAGATAATTAATAACCTAATCCAATAACAAAAGAAAATATATTTAGCTTACCTAACTCCCTTCCAAAGAAACAGACCACAAACAAATTACAAAATAAAGAAGGCAGGACACAGGGCCGGATTAACATAAGGGCTAGGTGGGGGCTGAATCCCCAGGGCCCGCGGGATTAGGGGGGCCGTGATTGGCTGGAGGAAATTAGATTGTCAAGTCATAGGTGGTTGATTTGTGTATAATAAAATAACAAGTTATTGGAAAATGTGCCTGACTGATATAATTCACCGCCCAATCAAATTAACTCTACAATTTGCGCCATGATGTTGGGAAACGCCTCTTTTCGTTATATTTTCATGTAGAACATGGGTATAAATCGCTCGCTTGAGTTCAAAAATAATGAAAAAAAGTGATAGTGGTGCACAAAAAAGGAAAAAACAAACTCGAAAGGCAGAAAAGGGATGCAAAAATTCCTAAATTAACTAACTACTTTGGTTCACTTTCATCCGTGCCCGTGGAAGACCCAGAGTGCAGCAACAGCCCACAGTAAGCTTCACCATCCTGCGAATTGAAAATAGCCTACGCACAATGGAAACACATCAATTTCGCAAAAACTCTCGTTTATGGCAAAAAAGTTTTTACGCTTGGTTTTTCAGGCAATTCAAAAAAGGAATATTTCCCAAAACTGCAATGGAAACAGTTTTTGCGCATTTACAGTCACCTGACTTAGAAGACGCTGTGTGTTTGGGGTCCGTGTGGTATACGCAATTAATAATAGGCTAATAATTAGGCCTATCATCATTATTATAACATTTATTAGGCTACATATTTAGGAGACGCTTTTATCCAAAAAAGGAGCAAAGCAATTCGTCAAATGTCATTCATAATGGTTAGACAATAATAATACAGGGCTAAGATTATCACAAATAAACACAAGATTTTGACGCATATCCAAGTGTTTGTGCGGAGTGTGGAGCGCGCATGGCAGGGAGGCGCGGGCGCAAACACTTGCAGTTTCCTATCAACAGTGGAAACAAACACCTTAAAATACTCTATTATTTCTGGTCATACAGAAGATAATAATACATTATTCCCAACTATACTTTTATTTGTGTAAACTCACAATAACAAGAAAACATTGTGATTTTGTAAAATAGGCTAAAATTGTCACGAGTTAGGAGAGAGAACCCAAAAGCAAAAGGCAGTTTGACAATATTTAATAGATGACAAGGCATCCGCAAGGCATCCAAATCCAACAGAAAGTCTCTCGGTATTAAATCCAACAGAAGAAGGTCACTCACAGTCAAAGGGAACAGAAAGTCTCTCAGTAATAATGGAACAGAAAATACGCGGTCAGGACCGGCAACGGGAAACCCCGGGGGATGAGACAGGCTGGGTCCGTAGTGAGCACGGGAACGCAAAACCGTGGACCACTCACGTCTGTTGAAGGTTGGTGAAAGGAGAGGCGAGGTAATATTGTAGTCAGTAAAGAGCTGGCACCAGACAGAACAAGACAAGGACAGAGGCTAGAACAGCGGGCAAACAGGTACGTAACATACAGCAATAATCTGACAAAGAACAAAAGAAAGGAAAGCCAAGAAATAGAGAGTCTAATCAGAGAAAGTGGGAAACAGCTGAGGAGGAGAGAGAGTGATGAGATGAGGTGATGAGAAACAGCTGAGAGCGAATGAGATAATGAATGAGAATGTGTGTGTGTAAAAGGATGTAACAATGAGTGTGACCAAAAGAGGGAGGAAGAGTGTAAGAGAAGAATACCAGGATCATGACAAAAATAAAACAATCAGGCGCGTTTTCATGATCTCCGTGAACTGGAGTGCGAGAACTGAAACAAAGTATAGCCTATGTAGGCTAAAGCTTGAAATGTCCACGTTACTTTTGTTTGTTTGTTTGTTTGTTTTTTTAATATGACTGCATTTTTCCTTGCAGAAATCAAAGAAGGAGGCGGTGTATGAAAATGTCCCTAAAAAACCATGACCAAATACCGTGGAATATGCTACTGGAATAAATGTTAGAGCTCATATGGGCCCTGACTCACACCTCATAGTTCACATTAATTCTCTGCCAATGTTTTAACTTTAGTTTCATGCTTTTTACACTCTCATGTGTTGTTATTTTAATGTCTGAAATTGTGTTTTCTGTGTTAGTTTAATTTAGTGGTTCACGAATAGAATTGACGAAAAAACTCAACTAAAACATCTATTTATAGCTAAATACAGTATTTTTTGGATACATTTTTTGTCAATTATATTAATCATTTATTTAGATTCTGTTGCCTATTTTGTACCGTGTATCTTATTGTATGTTCATGTAGTTACGTTGGCCTAACCGTAAAGTGCACTGTCTGGAGTGTACCCAACTGGAATGCCAAAGCTGACATCATAATAAATAAATAAATATACGAATAAATAAAAACAAATACATAAATAAATACACAAATATATTAAGAAACGTACAAAAAACTAACAAAAATACATGAGCATTTATACTTTTATTTCTTTATTTATGTATAATTGTATTTTTTCCTAATATATTTATTTTTTTCATTTACTTATGTATGCATTTATTTATTTTCACATTTATTTATGTATATATGTATTTATGTCTACATTTTGATGTTTTTGAAGTGGTGGAAGAAAGTAGGCCCATCTAACCCAACTGTATCTCTTATCTGTACACTGCCATAATCCACGTTTATCCGACTGGAGTTGCGCACCATGAAAAAAAACAGCCAACCTTCACTGACGTCTGTCGTCAGCCACTTTTAAGGCCTACTTTCTTTTGTCACTTCGCAAACATCAAATTAATAAAAAAAGCCCATGTATGTGATCATTTTATTATATAGTGAAGGGGAGCGGTAAAAAGTCGCCCCGTCAGAGACCCAGGACCAGGTATGATGAAAGAAGACCTGGAGTCAGAATTATAAAAAATTAAAGAAAAGATTTAATGAAGATAGTTTACAGTTTCATCAGCTTCAAGATTCACACAGGAGTTTGTAGGCCGTCCCGCTTACAGTTACAAAGATCACAGCAGTTATACCCTACACTAAGGTCTAAGCTACGTCCTAAGAAATAGATAAACAGTAATTTTCCACACATATACAGAGAGACGGAAGCATATCTCCATGGATTATGCAGCTGATACTCAGACACTGAAGTTAGGCACGTCGTGACCTTCCAGATCGCAGATTTGGGTTGCTGGGCGCCAACATGTCCCGAACAACAACTCAGTCAATCTCCTATAATGCCAGTGGTTCCTTAACCTGTAACCAAGAAGACTAAAATACACACACACACACACCACACACACAGTAACTTCTATAACACAGTAAAATCTCACAAGCCCAGAGAAGTTATTCAACTCGTGATATTTAGAAGGAAAAATATTGATTAATACCTTGATTATAATCACTCATAATACATATACATTTAAACAGCAGTGGATTGTAAAATCCACACCCTACAACAGCAAAATATGATATAGATATCACACAAGAAGAGTGTTTATCTGGAAAAAAAACTTTATTTTTTGCCAAAAAACAAAACAAAAAAAATCTTCCAAAAACTTCCAAACTCCACAGAACCGCTGCGCCTCTAAGCAACATGTGGTGTTTTCTTATTGAATGAATCAGTATTTGAACGAATCGGCTGAATTAAATCACTGTTGCCATATACATAACAGGAATAACACCTGGTCATTGAAATGACTAAAAATATAATGGACTATTCGATCTCCCTAAATATAAATAAAAATGCATTTATTTCGACTCTGACTGTGTCAGCGTCACTGAAGTTACACTTACGAGCTGGGCCTGCTATGAGAAATTAAAAGGGCATTCGGCAACTATTTCAGCTTAATAAAACCGTTTAGAAATCATTTGGATGGTTTAATAACCTGTTCTGGTGAGAATAGTGACTTTCCCCGCTCCCCCCAGCGTTCCCAGGCGGAAAACTAACCTTGCAACATGAGGAATTAACGTCCCGGTAAGTTGGAAATAGGAAGTCTCGTGAGAAGCGAGAACAAGCGAGAAACACAAACTGCTTTATGGCAATTCGACATAAACACACGCCGCCCCGATGTATTACCCACCTCGGTAGACATACTCCACACGATAAAGTTGGCCGGCTCCGATAATAACAAATGCACATGAGTAGCGGTAGAAAAGGGGAGTAGGGCCCGCAAGTGAGTTTTTTTACGACATTGTTGTGAAATATACGCCTCACAGAGCTCGTTGAGAAAACATGCGACAACAAAAGTGAAAATCAGCGAAGAAATAGCTAGAGTTGCCGAATGCCCTTTTAACGAGGATCAAAAGCTAAATAAAATGCAACGACCAAATAGCAACAGAAATTATTTTCATAAGTATATTGTTTAATAGGTATATAAAAGATATTGACCAAAAATGTATGCACCTCTCGATGTAAATAAAATATGTTATTTCAATAAAGAGGTGCATTCAGTCTATGTCTATGGTCTGGACTCAGAGGTGCCAATTCATGTGTGAAATCCATAGGCTCTTAAGTATTCGCCTATTTAAATCCAAAAAGTTAAAGTAACAGATTTTGTGTGAAAATAAATTAAGTTTTTTAACATTAAGTGTTTTCTTTTATTTAAAAATATTATAAATGAATGAGGTGGCAAAGTAGCCTTTACCCCACACATGGGACAAAAGGCACAAAGTATGGATACAAATTTTGTATTGTATTGTATTTATTTATTTATCCCCGTAGGGAAATTGTGTTTGCAGCGTACACCCACACAACATTTGGCAAATTCACATTTGACATATTATTTACAATTTGAATACATACAAAATAATCTAATAATAACCTGATTAAGATATCCAGTCTGGCGTCTATTTATCTACCACTAGAGGGAGGATCATTTAAAAACATGATTGCTTGGGGAATAAAAGACAATTTAAACCTATTTTTTAAACATCTAGGGACACAATATCGTCGACCTGATGGTTGAAGTTCAAAAGTATAGGATAGAGGGTGCCTCTTATCATGATGATGTTGGCCTTGTTTAACACTCTTCCTTTGTATATACTCTCTAACTTTGTTCTTTTACTACCACCTTCCCCAAAGATCTCTTCTGGGCCTCAGGGGCATTACCACACCAGCAGATCACACAAAATGACACAATGCTTTCAATAAAAGTCCCATAAAACATCAACAATATTCTACTATGGACATTAAAGGACAGTCATTTCTTTAAGAAGTACATTCTCTGTTGAAGATTTTTACTTTTATCCCACTTAAGTTTATTGTCCAGCATTACACCAAGGTATTTATAATTTGTTACTAGTTTTCACTCATAATGTTTCACTCATATGTTTTCACTCAAGTTTTATAATGAAACTTCATTTGATTTTTTAAATTTGACTAAAATATGACTGTTTCTGATGGATTCAGCACTTTGGCCAACCAAGGTTGATTTTAACTTGGTCAACCATGATCGACCAAGGTTTATAATGAAACTTCATTAGATTTTTTAAATTTGACTAAAAAGTCAAATTTTGACTGTTTTGAGAAGGCATCAACTGAGATTCGTTGTGCATGCATTAACCGTGAGATTCATAAAACAGGACAGGAAGAAGCTCTTTCACCTAGAAAACAAACACACACGCACTATACCCTCTCTTCGTCTCGGAAGAAAACCAACCACAGCAGGTTTCAGTTTGACTGAACATTTAGAGTCTGCTATAGTCACAATGTGAGACAGCAGACACTACACTTTTTTTTTTTTTTATCAGACTTTTCAGTGAAAAAATTAAGAAAATGATAAACGTGTTTGCTTTGTTCTATTTGTACTGGTGGCGTCTGAATGGTAAGTTATCTTTTTTTTTTTGGCTTAACAGTAACATTCTTCACAGATGTTAAAAGTCATGGAAAATAAAGTAAATTGCTATGATGAATGTAGATTAATCCAGTGGAGACTTTTCTCCATTGTGCTACTTTCAAATCTGAGGCCCAGCTTGCATGACTTGGGATGGGGCCTGGGACCATTTTAAAATTCCCTGATATATGCAGGTTTTTCCTGACAGTGTATCAATGTATCAATGGTGCTTTGACTAGAAACTAAAGCTACATTTTGAGTTGTCAATTGTCCATGTGATAGTCAGTGGCCATCCTCAGAAGCGATTGGACATTAGGTGATCGGAAGCTGTTTAAAAACTGTTTAAATGAGAGTTATGAATGTAAAGCGGAAGCAATTCGTAAAGATTAATAAAACGTGCTGAGCATGAGAGGGAGAGATGTGAGGGCACACACGACAAGGCAGGCTAAACAAATGCATGAAATATTTTTTAATATGAGATATTTTTCATATACTTTATTGTATGATATACCAAAAATATGTGTGGGGTTGGGGTGGGGTGAGGGGACATTGCCATTTCTGTGGGTTTAAATGATCTTAATTAGCCCTGAACAACTACAAAAGCAATATACATTCATTAGTCAGAAAAAAATCTAATGCTCTAAATATTTAAGAATGGCAAAGTGTTACAATATGTAGGTGTAATTTTAATTAATATCATGGTCATATATCTCCCCTTTCATTTGTTTTTGCCTTTCTGCGGTTGCTCTGAGTGTTTTTCATTTCACAATTTCACAAAACTTTTTAAAACATCAGAAGTATCAATCTGTGTGAAATCTGTTTGTTCATCAGTTGTGTTTGGTGATTCAGTGTCAGTGATGGAGGGAGATTCTGTCACTCTAAACACTGATGTTACTGAAATACATAAAGATGATGATATACTGTGGAAATATGGAGCTGAAAAGTCTCTCATAGCTAAAATGAATAAAAAGAAGCAAAACTTCTCCACATTTGATGTACCTGATGGGAGATTCAGAGACAGACTGAAGCTGGATCATCAAACTGGATCTCTGACCATCACACACACCACAACTGAACATACTGGAGTTTATCAACTGGAGATAAGTGGAGCGAAAAAATCATCAAAAACATTCAATGTTTCTGTCTATGGTGAGTAGAGGTAATTTGTCGAAACTTTCACATATTCATGTTTTCTTAAAAAAATATTTAGTAGTAATTAAATTCAATCAACAGCATTTGTGACGGAGATTATTGTGATTATATAAAATATATTTTTTTTTAAAGTAAAACTCAAGGTTATGTCAATGGGATTTCTGGAGGACTTTAAAAAAGAAATGTGAAGCTTCCAATTTTATCAAGGCCCTTCCATTAATTCTTCTGTTACAAATTGTGCATCGGGTCTCTTACGAGACTGCTGAGAGCGACAAGCCGGTCTCCAATCTTAGCGAGGGGGAGCGCGACTCGCCACACCCTGCTTCTGTGTCTCACGTCTCTGAGCAGGACAGGGTTTGGGCAGGGTGGTCGACAGCCCCTTCCCTTGAGTGCGGCGAGGAATGAACTGGACCAACGTCTCTCTTTACCTCCCATAATCTGATGGCAACTGTGTTAACCGAGCCGCCAAACAGCCCGGTAGGTGAAAGAGGGGCATCGAGCAGAAACGTCCTGTCTCAGTCTTTCATGCCGTTAGGTTCAACCACAGATGTCTCTCTGTGGCGACCAGACCACCACTGAGCGCTCGCTTTAGTTGCATGGAGAGACAAATCTGTGGCTCAACAAAGCTCAGAGAACGACTCTTCGTCAATCAAACCTTCCGCTCTCAGCCTGGTACAACTGTTAGACCACTATATCTTGCAGCCTGAGCTGCTCCCTGAAAGTCTTTCCCCAGTGGGGAGGTTGTTCTGAACGGCTTAAGCGTTGAGAGTTGGTTTCTTTTCTAATACTGCAGACTCTTCTACCTGAGGCATTATCGTATAACCGCATGCCAGTTTCATTGGTGTGTTTGCACACACTCTTCATCGCCGGTCACACACAAAGTGTTCCCATAGCGCTACAATACGCACATCATAGAGAGAAGCTTTTGAAATGGAACCACGTTGTTTTGATGCACTGCTCGTTTTAAACTTTAGAAATGGTAAAAGGGTGCAAATATGTCCCACGGTCCGGATGGAACTAATGACGATCCACCATTTGAAAACCACTGCCCTAAACACTCACTCAAAACATTGAACTGGAAAATGTTGTGTAAATTTATCAATACTCCTCTTTATTCTCTCATGTTTTCTAGCTCGTCTGCCTGTTCCTGTCATCATCAGTAACTCTTCACAATGCTCTTCTTCATCATCAAATTGTTCACTGGTGTGTTCATCAGTGGTGAATGTGAGTGATGCGACTCTCTCCTGGTACGCAGGAATCAGTGTATTGTCCAGCATCAGTGTGTGTGATCTCAGCATCAGTCTCTCTCTACCTCTGGAGGTGGAATATCAGGATAAAAACACCTACAGCTGTGTGCTGAACAATCCCATCAGCAACCAGACCACACATCTGGACATCAACACACTCTGTCACACATGTGCAGGTACCACAGCACTGATGATATATGTGTGTGTTTACTGACCTGATCTCTGTCTTCTGTTGTAGATCAGACTGATGTATTACTCACATTAATGACAATCTTTCTTTTCCTCTCCTTCAGTTCCTCCAGTCTCAGTGTCTCTGATAGAGTTGATCTCTGTTGCTGTTGGATCTCTGTTGATTGTAGTTGCAGTCATTGGGATCTTCTGCCTCTGCAGGAAACGTAAAAAATCAGGTCAGGAGATCAAACAATTAATGCATATGTTAAAATATGTATCTTTTATAAGGCATCAATTTCAATATTAAATTTGAAGACTTTGTTGTTTTTAACATGTATGCATTATGTTATTGTTAATGCAGTTCAGACCCAGGAGAAAGACATGAATAATTCTGCATTGTGTAAACCAACAAGACGAAAAAAGGTAAGATCATTCTGTGTTGCAAGAAGTTGTTGATGTCAATTAATCTGTTCGAATTTTTGTGTTCCATATGCATCACGGTCAGTGAACAGATGTGGATGGTCAACCTTGTCACCTTCAGGAGGAAACGACTAGAAGCATGTTTTTATGTTTTATTTACACTATATTTTGCACTGCTTGCACTGTTTGCACTGCAGTGTTAATACTAACATACAGTATTTCCATTTTGCAGACCTATAATTATTATTATTTTTTTTTATTAAACAGCACGCAACCAATCCGCGGCTATACCAAAAACTTTTTTACTTTGTACTTTTTTATTTATTTATTATTTTTTTTAAAGTATTTAAACTGTTGCTTTTGATTGACTGTATATTTTTCCTTGCAGAAATCAAAGGAGGTCGTGTATGAAAATTTCACCCCAAAATGGTGATCATTTATTCACTATATTTATTTGAAATCCAAAAGTTTTTATCAGCAACTTTTATAAAAAAAAAAAAAAAATGTTTTGTCAGCATTGCGATTCTCTTTGTACACAGTACAGTTATACACTTGCATAGACGTATTCATGATTAAACACAATTTAAAGGAGCATTTCACCCATTTCAACATTAATCTTTATTGAAATTGGGTCATATATGTAGTCGAAATCTAAAATAAATTTTGAATTTGGTGCCTTCTTGACCGAGAAAAGACAGAAAATAACTTTAGGGCGCATTTGTATGTAAGACAACAACTCCCACAATGCACCACATTGCACAGCTCCGCAAGCCACTCCCACTAATCCAGAACAGAGCAAACATCAAAGAAATCACTATTCCGTCTACAAGGCTAGCTGCCACCAGAGTTTGAAATTCATTTCACACAAAATTTCTAGTTAGTTGGCAAACTCATTAGTGAATTACTCCTCGTTTGTATTTCTTTCTAAATGGTGAATTATTGCATGATACCGGGATGTTCAGTCAGAACATATGCGGAGCGAAACTAGGATGGTTCACATCACAAAACAAATGTCCGTGTCCTCGTCTGATTCAGAGATTTCGTCCTGTGTCCGTAGCGCACAGCGAGAGCACAGGCACCAGCAGTCCGCCCCAGCTCGAGCCAGTCCAGGCTACTCGTCCGCGACAGGCAGGTCTTCTGCCTCGGCTGCAGAAGCCCCAGCAGCCGCCTCCTGTTCCTCCATCACTGCTCTTCACTATATTGCGGCTCATAAAGATAGCCACGAACATTGGATTCGAGCAGCAGATTTTCAAAATCCTCTTCTTCCATATCATGTTTAGTTTCTTCCGTCATTGTCGTAACTTCCTATCTCCACAGCACTTATTAGCTTAGCTTCCAAACAAGATGGCGGATATTGATTTCTGTACCTGCAAGTGAAGTCCCACCCACTGATCTGTAATAGGTCTGTAGCGTGAGTGGGTCCCACCCCCTGGATAAATGATGAGCTAGTGTTTGTAGTCTTAACCCTTATACAAAGAAATGGGACTTCCTGCTTTTGATGACGCAAAATGACGATTATTACGTCATAAAAAGTAGGAAGTGGAACACTTAAATCCTTATTTCTACCCTCTCAGGGGAAAATAAGGGAATAAACCATGACCATTCAAAAATATGACTGGGTTTCTAGAGATACAAAGCTTAATGCAAATGGGTGAAGTGTCCCTTTAAACAACATATTAAATGCAACTTCTTTAGATATGTTTAGGCCTATATTAAGTTGCTCAAGGAAGGGGAAAAATGTTTAAAGATGTACTTTTCTAAATTTCTAAACATTTTAAATTAAAACTTACAATTGACAAAACATTTTCTTTTGCACTTAAATCTTAATACAAGAAATCATGCGCATCATAAATACCTTGGTTACACCGTGCTTGAAGTAGAAAAAAAAATACTGTGACAAATAGTAGTATAATTTAATTAAATGCATTTATGGTGATATTACGTAATTTTCATGTCAATCGTTTCACTTTAATTCAGCGCGTGCATAACAGCAAAAAATAATATACTCTGTGCGGAAACGCTAGAACAGTGTGAATGGCTTAAACCTGTTAAAGGGGTGGTATAATGCCCTTTTCTATGTTTTTTCTCTATGTCTATGTGAAGTTTTAGATCAAAATACCCCACAGATATTTTATATAGCATGTTAAAATTGTACATTTTTGAAGGTGACTAAAAACACAGTTTTTGTATCTGTCCCTTTAAATGCAAATGAGCTGCTTCTCCCGGCACAGAGGGTGGAGCCACAACAACTTGCACTTACACAGACATGCACTGAAAATTTCAAAAACTTTTAGAATTTTATATTCAAACCTGAGTCAGACAAAGAAGGAGAGACTCAAGAAGAAGACAACATTTCTGAATGGTTAATGCATTTATGTAGCTTGTGTAAACTCGCACTCGATTGGCCCAAGGTCCGGCATCAGACCAGCACGGAAGGTCTTTACGTGTTACTGTCTTTTCTCGCTGCAAAGTATTTTTGGTTAAATTCAATACATTTTATCATATGTATTAACTCGTTATTTCATCTGACTCCATAAATGAAAAAGGTTCTCTTACGAGAGGTTCTCTCGTACTGCGTAATATCTTACGCTAGGGGAAAACCTCTTTTCCACGAGATATTGAAGCCAAAAATTATTCTTAATTTTGAATTAATGTAAAACGCGTTGCAGCAGCAATGCAGACATAGGCGAGACGGCTTGCGTGCCTATTGGCTGCCCTGCGGCAACTGCAGCAGCCTATCGAGAGAGGCCCCAGGTGACGTCAGATCCAATGGGGGCGCTTCGCAATGCAATGCGCCCAATGGGGGCGCATTGCATCTGAAGCTGCTGGCCTCGCCGCCTTCAGTCGGCGTACCTGCTCTGCTTTCCGGCGTCTATATCCTTTCAAACTCTGCTGAGTGTGTGTTCACCGCTGCAACCCTCACTCTCACAAAAGAGCTAGCGTCTTTTTAAAGATGCCTTCTTGTGGCTCGTGCCGAGCCTCACTCAGCGAACGGGGACCGCCATGTAATCTGCGTTTCCTGCCTGGGTCACGATCATGCAGCTCTCGCGCTCACCGATGGTGGCTGCCATCATTGTGAGCTTCTGCCCATGCCGACTCTGAGGACTCGTCTGGCATCCTTCACCGAGCCTGCACTTCAACCAGCTGTAGTGCCGTGCCGCAAGAAGCGCGGCACACAGTGAGTTCCCGAGCCTTCTCCAGCCCGCGGAAGCTCGCCGGTTCGCCCGCCAGCTTCGCCAGCTTCTCCTGAGTCGCTCACCGACGAACAACGGCCACCGTCTGCCCCCGGTTCCACAAATCGAGGTCGACGAGACAGCTGTATCTGCGGAGGAGGCCAGCTGCTCTATCCTGGCATCGGACAGTGAGGAATGGGCGAGCTCTGTGGATCTCCCCGCCGCTGCCCGCGCATCGCCGGGAAAGCGGGCCAGCATCGAGACTGAACTCATGCGTGGCGAGCCTCGGCCTTGAGTGGGAGGCGCCCGCGCAGCCGGCACACAACAGACTGGACGGATGTATCCTGAGAAAGGACAGGGCTCCACCGCCGTCCAGGCCTGCGCCTTTTCTTCCTGAGCTTCACAAAGAAGTTGCAAAGTCCTGGAGCAACCCGCTCTCCGCCAGCATTCTCCGTAGTGGATGGTGCTAAAGAGCAGCCCACCTTTGCCAGCCCTCAGCTGGACGCCGAGCAAAGACAGCGCTGCCTTCTAAAGCTTGCCGCGCCACCTCCGCTATGCACGGTCGCGCCTACGCTGCCGCCGGGCAAGCTGTATCGGCACTACACTCCATGGCCGTCTTGCAGATCTTCCAAGCCGACCTCCTCCGCAAAATGGACGAGGAAGGAAGCGATCAGCGTGCCGGATCTAAGAGGCGCTACGGACCTCGCCCTCCGCGCCGCGAAATCCGCTGTACAGGCCTTGGGACGACTGATGGCTTCTCTCACCGTTGCTGAGTGACACTTGTGGTTGACGTTATCGGAGATGCCGGACTCGGTGCGCGCTGTGTTCCTCGACGCTCCCGTCTCCCCAACAGGCCTATTCGGACCTGCCGTCAAAGATCTCGCGGACAGATTCGCTGAGGCCTAGAAGACGTCACAGGCTATGAAGCACTTCCTCCCGAAGCGCTCTAGCTCCGCAGCAGGCCACCCCAAACAGCCGTCTGCTCGAAGCTCACAGCCGCAGCCTCCGACCGCCGCCGCTTCACAACGTGTTATAAGTGCACACGAATCAGTGTTCATTACTACACACAAGCACAGCCCACAACAGTACGGGGCTCGGACAAATCAAATTGACTTACGTCGATTGTGCATTAAACGTAGTGAATGTGCCCACAACCCAGTGCCCACAAACACTACAGTATACATGGCACGCGGTTTCTGTAAAAACGAAACCAACACACATTCAGTCAGCTCAGGCAGAAGGTGTTTTGAATGCAGTAAATGTGCCCGCTGTCACGCGCCCACATTCACTCACAGACATGCTAAAACCCACGGGTTTCACCCCGCTCATTTCCATGTCGCAAACTGCCATAGAGAAATCGAGCGCGGCCGGACCACCCGCTGTGATCAGCGCGCTCCCCGCCCTTAGATGCTGCAAGCACAGTGTTCACGTTACAACACACCAGGGCTCTGCGGCCGCCACTCAGTCGCGGCCAGAGCCCAGATCTCATTTTACCCCTAGCCATTCACGCGAATGCGTGGGCAAAACTTCCCGGGGTATCAGAATGGGTGCTGAACACTATAGAGAGAGACTATTCGCTGCAGTTCGCTCAACGGCCGACGCTCGGTCGAAACTATGGTAAAAAGCGAAGTAGCTCATCTACTTCGAGCCGAGATAGCTAAACTTTTGAGCAAAGGGGCAATATAGCCTTTATCTCAAGCTCAGAGCGAAGGGGGTCTATATAGCAGATATTTTCTGGTACCGAAAAAAGACGGGGGTCTCAGACCCATTCTAGATCTGAGACAGCTGAACAAAGTGCTTGTGAAATGCCAGTTCAAAATGCTCACGACC